TCTCCAATGTTCTCTAATAATTTGATGGTGTCAGGTTGTTGAGTGGATTTTTGTGTAAGGTGTAAGGTAGGGGTCTTACTTCATGCTTCTACACGTGGAGATCCAGTTTTCCCAGCACCATTTATTGAATAGACTGTCCTTGCTCCAGGAGTTGATTTTAGCTCCTTGATCAATTATAAGTTGGCTGCAGATGATTGTAATGATTTCTGGTGTTTCTATTCTGTTCCATTGGTCTATCCATCTGTTTCTGTAATGTTTTTTGGATTCAATTTTATTGATTTCTTCTCTAATTTTAATTATTTCTCTTCTCCTAATAGTTTTGGGTTTGGTTTGCTGTAGTTTTTCTAGATCCTTGAGATGCATTGATAGCTCATTTATTTGGTGCCTTTCCAATTTCTTGATGTAGGCACCAATTGCTCTAAACTTTCGTCTTAACACTGCTTTTGCTGTATCCCGTAAGTTTTGATATGTTGTATTGTTATCTTCGCTTTCTTCCAGAAAGTTTTTGATTTCTCTTTTGATTTCTTCTATGACCCACCGTTCATTCAGGAGCATGTTCAGTCTCCATGTGTTTGCATATGCATATGCTGTAGGGATTCCTGCGTTGCTAATTTCCCGCTTCATTCCATTGTGGTCTGTGAAAATGGCTACTCTACTTTCAATCCAGCTCTCTGCCATAATCTGGAAAAGCAGTAGAAGATGGCCCAAGTCCTTGGGGCCCTGCACCCACATGGGAATTCTGGAAGAAGCTTCTGGCTCGTGGCTCTTGGCTTCTGATTTGCCCCGCTTTGGCTGTTGCAGCCATTTGGGGAATGAACCAGAAGATGAATGATCTCCCTCTGCCTCTACCTTTCTATAACTCCACCTTTCAAATAAGGAAATCTTAAAAAAAAAGAAAAGCACACATTACAGCCTCACAATATAAGGGCATCTTGCTAATAACCATCTTTTCCAGGTGCTATCTAAATTTCTTGGTATCCCTTCTTTACAATACATGTTTTTTCATCTTTAATTTTTTTTTTAAAAAAGTGCAGTTTACCTTAGAGTATTCAGAAGAATTGGTATGCATTTTTCAAGTCTACACAAGAAAATGAATGTAAATTAAAGTTAAAAGGATGATAAAATGCCTGAATATAATTATTTGTAAAACTTTCAGTACAAATCTAAAAAAAAAAGCAGCTAATACTTCAAAGTAATCAAATTAGTGAGAATTCCATTCTTGAGGCCCTCTAGACATATACAGCCATTCAATTCCAAATATCAGTATTATAAAAAGGATAGTTGCAGATATTTTAATAATTACATCATAATCTTTAAAGAGCAAAAAATAGAAGCCATTTTTTTTTAATAAATTAAGGGTTTAGTACAAAATGCAAAACATTAGTTTCTCATTGTCAGTAACTGAAGAAATGGCTGTGTGCTCTGCATGGAGCTGGGGACAGATGCTGGCGAGGCAGTAAGTCGAGGCCAGCAGCCAGGCTCAGGAGCAAGCTGACAAGCACTGATTCACACCTCCAGCAGGTCCGTGTTCTCCAGCGCAACCACTACCCACTCCTTATCCGCAAGCTGCTTGTTCACTGCGTGCTCAAAGGCATGGGTCCCTGAAGTAATGTGCACATCCATCTTGAAAAGCTGGGGAAGGGACCGCAGAAGCTTGACCATGATGGACAGGCCAATAAGGGTGGCCATGCTGCAGTGCAGAATAGTGGGGTTGAAGGCCACAGCCACTGTGCTCTACAGGTCACTAACCTGAACCTGGACTTTCTCTACTACGTTCAACTCAAGGGTCAGCAGATGCTCTGGATCATTGATGGAGCAAATAAGATCGAAGAGCTCTCGTGTGTGTCAACGCTATCCGGAACCTGCTCATCCTCCTCCACCACCCTCACTGGCTGCTCCCCGGAGAGCTCATGGATGATGTCCAGGAGGCCGCCCCCCATGTTGCCACCCACCACCATCGCGGCACTACTGAGCCAAACCCCAATCAGCGAGCACTTTCCTTCCGACCTGCGCACTTCTGGGGAACAGAAAGGGGCTGTGGCGCGGCAACGGGGTCGCACCTCGCTGCAGGTACTCGACCTGGTGTTTGAGAGAATGTGGATTCAGAGTGCCGGGTTGCTGGACCTGGGAAAATGCTGATCGCTCCCGCAGTGACGACCCGAAGGGAGCCTGGCGGTGCTGGCCATCGAGCCCTACAGAGCTGGAATGCAGAGGTCAAAGACAGTTCTAGGGGAAACTAAAAACGGTCCAAGGTGGAGCCTGGTGCCACCTTCTCGGGGCTGTCACACTGGGCACTCGCTCTCGTAGCCAGGCTGGGCTGCCCCTGCCTTGGCAGGGTTCTTGCTGTTTCTGAAACCCAGGAGATGCACCTCCTTCCCTGCTGCATCATAAAACCAGGAGTGCTTGGAGTTCCGTACAAAGGTTTGCAAAGTAAATAAACGAGGGGAACGCTATCTGGTGGGAGAGGGGGACATGGACTACCCCCGGGATGGGTCCTTTGGAAGTGCCACGGCCACATGTGTGTTTCACACTTGATCTTAGCCAAAAGGCCAAGAAGCAATCACATGTGAGTTACAAAAGGAGAGCCCTGGCAAAGCAGGGCACGCGTCGCAGAAACCTCAGACTGTGGGCAGCAAGGGCGGGGAGATCCAGTCGGCCGAAGCCATAATTTTTGATTACTTATTGAAGAATGCTAATTTTATAAAAATAGCACAAACACATCTTATTGTGTCTTATGACCTAGACTTTGGTTAACTTACAAACTCAAAATTGAGAAATAATACTTTTACAAGTGTCAGTGATAGCTTTATTCTAAAGGTGAGAAAGGATAACTATTTTTGTCAGACATTCCAGTTATAATATGAAAAAAATTTGCTACTGTGAGTACTCTATAGGAAGAAAATATCACTTTTCTTTTCAAAATGTGTACATAGGTGTTTCCTGATGTCCATTTTCCAGACTTATAATGAGCAAGAACCTTGAATTAAGGTTCTTGGAAAATGAAGGTGAAGTTATTTCATTCGCAGCAACACAACTGCATGGCATAAGATTAAAAGTATCATAAAGACCAAAGTTCACAAGAAAAAGTTCATGAAATTTGTAAGTTTCCTGGGAAAATGAGTTTAAATCATCTTTTCCTGACAGACTGAAATGCCTAGCACAATACTGATTAAAAGTGAGAGTAGATATCCTTACTTTTTAAATATTTATTTATTTATTTGAAAGAGCTACACAGAGAGAGGAGAGGAAGAGAAGTCTTCCATCTAATGGTTCACTCCCCAATTAGCTGCAACAGCTGGAGCTGTGCTGATCTGAAGCCAGGAGCCAGGAGCTTCTTCTGGGTCTCCCACATGGGTGCAGGGGCCAAGAATTTGGGCCATCTTGTACTGCTTTCCCAGGCCATAGCAGAGAGCTTGATCAGAAGTGGAGCAGCCAGGTCTCGAGCTGGCACCCATGTGGGATGCCAGTACTTCAGGCCAGGGTGTTAACCCGCTGTGCCACAGCACAGGTCCTCCTTACTTTATATGCTTATAAATATATGGAGAGTTTTGTACTCTGGGATATAACACTTTTGATAAATGTTATATGCCTTAAAGACAACACTGAAATCTTTTTAACAATGATTTTGTCAAATGGGTGTTTCCTTGCAGTTCTATCACTATTTTCTTCAAGTATTTTGAAGTTTTGCTATCAGGAGCATTGACATTGGGGCAAGGTTGGGGCAGAGTGGATGATGGCACCATCCCATATTTGTTCTGTTCCAGTTGCTGTTTATCACCCAACTCCCTGCAACAAGGGAAGGAAACATAATGTGTCCCAAGTACATGGACCCTGCCATCCCTGCAGGAGACCCAGATGGAGTTATGGGTCTGGATTCAGCTTGGCTTAGCCTGACCCATCAAGGCCATTTATGCAGTGAACCAGCAAATAGAAGATCTTTTTCTCGCTGCCTTTCCCACCAGAAACATAGCCTTTCAAATAAAATAAAAATCTTTTTAAAAATGTTATGCTCTCCTGCTTGATTCTCCCCATTATAACTGGCAATTTAAACTCATTTAATGGGAATTAAATTGTTTTGAAACTGACATTGCCCTATGCTAATAAAGGACACTTTAGTGTTAAGAGGGACTTTTACTTTTAATGTATTTATATTTAACATGTATTTATTCTGAGTAGCATATATTTATGTCTCACATTTGTGCATATTCTGTTAAAAATGAAATTTAAGTTGGTTATAATATGATTGCACTTAATCAGATTACTTATGTGGAAGGATGTAAGTCTTATATTGTATTATTTCTTTGGTATTTCATCAAAGACAATTTTTGGCACACACTTTTCTGCTTTTCTGTTGATACTTAATGATTCTATTTTTACTTTTTTGGAAAATTTGAATAACTTTTCTTCTGGCTATTTTCTGGTGGGTAAATTATGATTAGCAGCTTAATTTTTCATAATATACCTTGAAATGATTTCTAAGCATTCAGATTCTTATTTGTAAGTTTAGTATAGGGAAGGAACATATGTGATGAATTAAAAGCACCTGAAAACAGTTAAAAGGTACACTCTTTGGTCTTATTAAAATGCGCTCAAGCAAAAAATTATTTTGGTTTTTGGACAGAGAGAGAAGAGAGGCCTTTCATCCACTGGTTCACTCCTCAAATGGCTGCAACAGCTGGGGCTGGGCCACACTGAAGGCAGGAGCCAGGAGCTTCTTCCAGGTTTCCAAAAAGAATGCAGGGGCGCAAACAATTGGGCCATTTTCTGCTGCTTTTCTAGGACCATTAGCAGGAACTGGATCAGAAGTACAGTAGCTGAAACTCTAACCAGCACCCATAAGGGATGCCAACATTGCAGGCAGTGGTTTTAATTCCTATGCAATAATGTTGGCCCCAAAATCAATGGTCATTTTTGAACAAGAAAATGACAGCCAACTTTTGCTTTAGAAGACTTGTGAGTATAACAATCCAAAGGAAACATAAAAACATGGTACAAATACAAACTTTTGAACAAAAATATATTTTTCTTAAAATGCAAAGCTGTCATGATAGTATAAACCAGGAAGATGTAAACAAATCACTGAGAATCATAAGTAAATAGAACTGTCTAGTTTAGTTATTTGAAGTGTTAAGAGAAATCCTTTATTTTTCCTTCAGAAAAGATATCAAATTCATTCTAAGTTTAGATACACCATGGGCAAGTCATTTGCTCTAATGAAAATAAAATGAATACAAATCTTTATATACAAATCTTTGATGGTGGAAAATGAGGTTTAGGAAATTCCAAAATGGTTGATTAAGGAAGAACATATTGCACTAGGCGAGGAATGCAATCTCAGTGGAGAGTTAGAGAAAGCCACACTGGAAACTACAAAAGGAAGAGGACTACTGTAGACCTGTGCAGAAGATGTGGATATGCAGTGCAAACAAGGACACAACACACAACTGCGGGAGTCAAGAGCCAGAGAAGGTGGCAGCTTGGAGACAAAGGTGAGACCAGACAGCAGCAACCTGTGGTGATATGGCTGGAGGGAGAGCATGCTGTGAGTCCAGGCTAGAGCTGGACCAACTAGGGGCTAGTTGGTACCAGCAACTACTTACAAACCCAGTATAAATTAAAGGGGTATGTTTATCATCCTGTCTCCCCACAACAGCACCTGCTGTCTGGCTGAGAAAGGGTGGGTGCCATTTGGGGTTTAGGTGGCAGCTGCCAAAGTCTTTGTGCATGCACAGCAACTGGATGAAGCAGGATGCCATATGCTCAGTAGTACTGGCAGCAGTGGCAGGGAGAATGCAGTATGTAGACAGTGGCTCTTATGAACGTGTACGATGCAGAGATTCTAATGGAAAGAAATAGCTGTAGTCCCCACTTTGAGTCAGACTGAAAGGATTGACAGGTGGCAAGGCACCCATGTAGAACTGTGAAGCACCCCCAGTAAGATATGAAACAGGCTCTGGGGCTCAAGCTGCTTCAGTGGAGCTGTCTGGAAATATGCTTCTCTGTTCACTGGACAGGCTGGCAAGTTATAGCAGAAACTATGCACACAGTGAATGTGGGAGCCTCATGTGCTGAGACCATGTGGATTCCATGGTTACATGAAAGCATGTGGAGTGTAGCTGTGTCTCTGGGTTAACCACTGGGTGTGGATCCACATACTCAGAGCTCCTTAGTTGCCTGGGGCTGGTCACTGGAGTGGGAACTGTGCTCACAGTGAGGGCTGTATAGATCATCTGTGTGGTTCAAATGCTAATACTGATGAGTGTTGAACCTACTTGGGGGCTAATACGTGGGCATTGTTCAGCTTGGAAGAAGAGGTGAGGGGGTGATCACATCAACTGAGGTGAAAATTGTTCCCTTCTGTTAAGAAGAGGAGATCTACCATAACCAACTTTGTTGTACTGGATACTCACCACATGCTGGAGCACTGAACAGAGCTCCCTGACTACATCCAGCATACAACACTTGGTATTCACTGAAAGTGCATATATTCTGAAAGCCACAGAGGCCTAGCTGAAAGATAAAGGTCATCAGAGGAAAAAGCCAACAACTAACTCCACAAATGCCTAAAAATAAACACAGAAATTCAAGAAACAAGAATAAGAAACACATTATGACCATCCCAAAGGAACAAAATATTTCAATGTAAAAATGAAAGATGAAGAGATTTAAAAAATTCTGGAAATGGAATTCAAAAAATTAATCATAGCATTACTCAAAAGCAATCAAAAGCAATTCCACAAAATAAAGAAAACCATACATTACATGAATGAAAATTATCACCATGAGATTGAGATTTTAAAGAGAAACAAAAATAAAATATTAGAAATAAAGAATTAAATAGATCAAATGAAAAATGCAATGGAACGTTTTGACAACAGACTTGGTAAGGCAGAAGAAAGAGTATCTGAGTTTTAAGACAGATCTTTGGAAATCTTCCATTTGAACCAAAAAAAAAAAAAAAAAGGAAGAAGAAGAAGAGGAAGAAGAAGAGGAAGAAGAGGAGGAAGAAGAGGAGGAAGAAGAGGAGGAAGAAGAGGAAGAAGAAGAGGAGGAAGAGGAAGAAGAGGAAGAAGAAGAGGAAGAGGAGGAAGAAGAAGAGGAGGAGGAGGAGGGGGAGGGGGAAGAAGAAGAAGGAGAAGGAGAAGGAGAAGGAGAAGGAGAAGAAGAAGAAATTAGAAAACTTAAAAACAACATTGGAGATTTACAGGATAATATCAATGGACCCAATGTACAGGTCCTAGGAGTTCTTGAAGACATGGAAGGAGAGAATGGACTAGAGGGCTGGCGCCGTTGCTCACTTGGTTAACCCTCTGCCTGCAGTGCCGCATCCTATATGGGTGCCGGGTTCTAGTCCCGGTTGCTCCTCTTCCAGTCCAGCTCTCTGCTGTGGCCTGGGAGGGCAGTGGAGGATGGCCCAAGTACTTGAGCCCCTGCACCCACACGGGAGACCAGGAGGAAGCACCTGCCTCCTGGCTTTGGATCAGCACAGGTCTGGCCATAGCGGCCATTTTTGGGGGGGAAACCAATGGAAGGAAGACCCTTCTGTCTCTCTCTCTCACTGTCTATAACTCTCAAATAAATTAAATTAAATTAAAAAAGATATGACCAGAAAAGATCCTTACAATGACACATTGTAGTGAAACTTTCCACAGTAAAACATAAAGACATAGACCAAGGATTAAGAGGAAAAAACTGTCAACCCAGAATATTGTACTCTGCAAAGCTCTCATTTATGAATGAAATAAAGACCATTCATAATAGAAATGGGAAGAATTTGTCACCACTCATCCAGCATTACAAAAGCTGTTTAATGAGGTGCTACAGATAGCCTTCATTATAAAAAATGTGAGGGGCTAGCATTATGGCACATGAGGTAAAGCTGCCACCTGCAGCACTGGCATCACATATGGGTGCCAGTTCAATACCTGGGTGCTCCACTTTTGATCTAGCTCACTGCTAATGGGCCTGGGAAAGCAACTGAAGATGGTCCAAGTCCTTGGGCCCCTGCACCCACCTGGGAGACCTGGAAGAAGCTCAAGGCTCCTGGCTTCAGATCAGACCAGCTCTGGCTGTTGTGGCCATTGGGGGAGTGAATGAGCATATCTCTCTCTGAACCAGACCTCTCTCTCTCTCTGGCCTCTTCCTATGCCTCTCTGTAACTCTGCCTTTCAAATAAATAAATAAACTAAAAAAAAAAAAAATATGAAAGCAGAAAATCCTCCAGCAAAATACAAAAGAAATCCAAAGCAAATAATGGGAATATTTATGAAAAAATGGCAGAGCAAAGTCATTACTTATCAATATTCATTTTGAATGTAAATGGCCTCAACTCTCCAGTTAAAAGTTACAGACTGAACGGATTAAAAAACAAGACCCATCTATTTGCTGCCTACAAGAAACACATTTCGCCAATAAAGATACAGTAGACTGAAAGTGAAAGAATGAAAAAAGGTATTCCATTTTAAAGTGATCATCTTAAGTGTGTAACTGATCATACAGATAGGATTAAATGTCTAAGGGATCACATAAATAAGACCAAGTGTCTGGTAATAACAATAGATAGAATTAAAAAAGAGAGAATGGTCCAACATGAGAAGCAGGCCACACAGCAGAATGCCCTAAATAGCATTCTGACCTCAGAATCAGCCCATTCGGATCTGGCTGAAATGCCTACAAGAGCATTTTAGGGAAGGAGAGAACTTCCACTTTGCATATAACCCTATCTAAATATCAACAGAGTTTGTTGACTCAAAAAGCTTCCATAGCTTTGGCAGCTCATGTCAAAGCCTCAAGAGGTCACTGACATCAAAATAAGAGTGCTAACTGTTAAATCAACACCAGGAGTCACTGTGCACTTACTCCCCATGTTGGACCTCTGTACTTAAAAACAAATCTTAATAAAAAATGGAATGGAAGAGGGAGTAGGAGATGGGATGGGAGGGTGGGAATGGGGGAAGAAAGACTATGTTCTAAAAACTGTACATATGAAATTTGTATTCATTAAATAAAAACCTTAAAAATAAATTAAAAAAAAGAAAAAAGAAAAATGGTATTCCATGCTACTGGAAAGCAAAAAAGGGCAGGTGTAGCAATTCTAATATCAAAGAATAAAGACTTTAAACAAAAATTATTAAGAGAGACAAAGTGGCACTCTATAATGATTAAAAGATCAATTCAACAGGAAGATTTGAATATAAATAAATGTATACGCACAGAATGCTTAGGATTCTGGCTATTTAAAAGAAATGTTAATGCATTCAAAGGGAGACATAGACTCCAATACAATAGTAACAAGGGACTTTAACAACCCACTTCATCAATGACTAGATCAACTAGACAGAAAATCAATAAGAACAAAACTAGTTCACACTTTGGACCAAGTGGATCTAACTGCTATCTACAAAATTTTTCAACCCACAGTTGCAGAATACACATTCTTTTTATCAGTGCATGGAACGTTTTCTAGAATAGACTATATGCTAGGCCATAAAGCACATCTCAGCAAATTAAAAAAAAATCAAAATCAAACCATTCATCTTCTCTGATCACAATGGAATCAAGCTGGAAATCAACAACTCAAGAATCTCTAGATCATATGAAAACACATAGAGATTGAACAACATGCTCCTGAATGAACAGAGAATCATAGAAGAAATCAAAAGAGAAATAAAAGAATTGTGGAAATGAATATGACAATAAATCATACCAAAACTTATGGGATATAACAAAAGCAGGGTTAAGAGGGAAGTTTAGAGTAATTGGTGCGTACTGAAAAAACTGGAAAGGTTCCAAACAAATGAGCTATCAGTGCATCTCAAGGACCTAGAAAAAAAGAAAACAAACTGTAAATTAGTAGGAGGAAAGAAATCATTAAAATTAGTGGATAAACAAAGTTGAAACAAACCAAAAAAATAACCATAAGACAGCAGTTGAATGAAGAGCTGGTTTTTTGAAAAAATAAAATTGAGGTACAACTAATCAATAAAAAAAAGAAGAAGACCCAAATCAATAAAATCAGAGATGAAAAAGGAAATGTAACAACAGACACCACAGAAATAAAAAGAATCATCAGGGATTACTACAAAATTCTGTATACCAATAAATTGAAAAATCCAGAAGAAACGGATAGATTCCTGTACACAATCTACCAAAATTGAGTCATTAAGACATAGAAAATCTAAACAGACAAGTAACTAAGAAATTATATTGAATTAGTAATAAAAACCCTCCCAATAAAGAAAAGCCCAGGACTGCATGGCTTCCCTGCTAAATTCTAACAGACTTGTAAAGAACAAATTCCATTTTTTAACAAGCTATTCAAAATAACTGAAAGGGAGGGTGATATAACAAAGACATAAATCTCTGATAGATAAAATCAAAATTTATCTCTTCCTTAAAAAATAAATTTTTTTTAAAAACTGAAACCCAATTCAGTTTCACACTCTATTATTTACTCCATTCTCTGCTTTCATCCACAACCTGGGAGACAAACTTGAAGAACTTATATGAAGGAATTTACCTCCAACTTCTACCAGCCCCCCACTTCTAGCCCATGTAAAATATAGAAAAAAGAGGGAATGCTCCCAAAATCCTTCTATGAAGATAGCATCACCTTAGTTCCTGAACCAGAAAAAGATACAACAAAGAAAGAGAATAACAGACAAATATCTCTGATGAACACAGATGCAGATATCCTAAACAAATCACTAGCTAATTGAATCTCCAACAATGCATCAGAAAGATCATTCACCTGGACCAAGTGGCATTTATCATTGCTATGCAGAGATGGCTCAACATTCAAAAATTAATAAATGTAATTCATCCCTTTACAAACTAAGGAACAAAAAACATGTGATTATTTCAATTTATTAGAGAAAGCATTTGATAAAATACACCACCCTTTCATGATAAAAAACTTAAGCAAACTGAATATAGATAGAGCATTTCTTAACACAATCAAGATAATTTATGATAAACCTATGGACAACATCTTACTGAATAAAGAAAAGTTGGGAGCATTCCCACTAAGATCCAGAACAAAACTGCTATTCAATATAGTCCTTAAAGTTTTATCCAGAACCACAATGCAAGGAAAGGAAATCAAAAGGATGAAAATTGGAAAGGAGGAAGTGAATCTATCCCTATTTGCAGGTGATATGATTCCATACATACAGGATAAAAAGACTCCACTGAGATTTCTGGAACTCATAAAACAGTTTGGTAAAGTAGCAGGATATAAAATTAACACATAAAAATCAACAGTCTTTCTACTCACAGACAATGGGATGGCTGAGAAAGAACTTTTAAGATAATTCTCATTCAAAATAGTTTAAAAATTAAATATTTTGGAATAAATATAACCAAGGATGTCAAAGATCTATACAATGAAAATTACAAATTGTCAAACAAATAGAAAAAACAGAAAAGAAATCTTCCATGTTCATGAATTAAAAGAATCAGTATCATCAAAATGTCCGTATTCCCATGAGAAATTCATTGATTCAATGGGACACCAATAAAAATACCAGAGCATTCTTCTAAGGTCTAGAAGAATTGATACTGTAATTCATATGGAATCAAAAGAGACTCTAAATAACTAAAGCAATCTCATCTAGCAACAACAAAAAAATGCTAGAGGCATCACGATACCTGATTTCAAGATAGACTACAGGGGCTGGCACTGTGGCACAGTGGGTTAACGCCCTGGCCTGAAGTGCCGGCATCCCATATGGACCAGTTCGAGACCCAGCTGCTCCACTTCCTGTCCAGCTCTCTGCTATGGCCTGGGAAAGCAGTAGAAGATGGCCCAAGTTCTTGGGCCCCTGCACCCAAGTGGGAGACCCAGAGAAAGCTCTTGGTTCCTGACTTTGGATCAGTGCAGCTCCAGCCATTGCAGCCATTTGGGGAGTGAACCATCCCATGAAGACCTCTTTCTGTCTCTCTCTCTCTGCTTCTCCTTCTCTCTGTAACTCTTTCAAATAAATAAACTAAAATCCAAAAAGTAAAAAAAGACATACTACAGGTTAATTATAATCAAAACAGCCTGGTACTGGTACAGAAACAGATGGGTAGACCAATAGAATAGAATAGAAACACCAGAAATCAATCCATGCACCTACAACCAATTTACCTTTGACAAAAGAGCTAAAATCAATCTCTGAAGGAAGAAAATTCTCTTCAACAAATTGTGTTAGGACAACAGGATCTCCACAAATAGAAGTCTGAAGTAAGACCTCTACCTTACATCTTACACAAAAATCCACTTAATACCATCAAATTATTAGAGAGAATTGGGAAAACCCTACAAGACATTAGCATAGGCAAATACTTCTTGGAAAAGATCCCAGAAGCACAGGCAATCAAAGCCAAAATTGAAAAACGGGATTACATCAAGCTGAGAACCCTCTGCATAGTAAAAGAAACACTCAGCAAAGTGTAGAGGCAACCAACCGAATGGGATAAAATATTTGCAAACTACTCAAGGATTGATATAAAGAATCTACAAAGAGCTCAAGAAACTCAATTACAACAAAACAAACAACCCAGTTAAGAAATGGGTAAAGGACTTGAACAGGAATTTTTCAGGGGAAGAATTACAAATGGCCAACAGACACTTGAAATAATGCTCAGGATCACTAGTCATTAGGGAAATGCAGATCAAAATTATAATGAAATTTCACATCAACCCATTTAGAATGGCTCACATACAGAAATCAATGAATAACAAATGCTGGTGAGAATGTGGAGTAAAAACATATCCTAATCCATTGTTGATGGGAATGCAAAGTGGTCCAGCCACTATGGAAGACAACAAGGAGATACTTTAAAGATAGAAAAATAAACCTAGCATATAATACAATCACCCCATTCCTGGTGATTTACCCGAGTTAAGAGAAACCAGCATCTAAAAGAGTTATCTGTAGATAACTGATCACTGCCACTCACTTCAAAATAGCTAAGATATGCAATCAAACCAGATGTCCATCAACTGATGACTGGATAAAAAAATTCTGGTATATATACATTCTGGAGTATTAGTCAGCTGTAAGAAAAAAAAAGTCCTGTCTTTTGCAACAAAATGGATGCAACTGGAAAACACTAAACTTAAATAAGCCAGTCCCAAAATGATGGATATCATATGTTTTCCCAAATCTAGGTAGGTAATAGAATACTTACAATATAATATACTGGAATGAAATGAACATTTTGAGATTTGATGATTGCTTAAGCCCTGGTCTCTTCTGTTTAGAAAGTGTTTTTTTTTTTCTTTTTTCCTTCATATTATTTTTTGAATTCTTTACTTAATGTAGGATTAACCTTATATGTATAAAGTAAACTCAAAAAAGAGCTCTGTAAAAATTAAGAGTGGGAATAGGAAAGGAAACATTTTTATATATTATATATTTTATGTATATTTTAAATATAAAATATATAGGTTTATATATAACACATATTTATGTATTTTTATATATGCATTTATATATATTTAATACATAAAACTCAAATAACTTAAATAAAAGTTTAGATAGTAGTAAAATAAAAAGTGTTGGAAATTTATGAGATATAATCAAATGGCCCAAAACACAATTCCAGGTGTAGAAAGAAAGAATGGTTTAGAAAGCTTATTTAGCTAAATAATTACAAAAAAAACTTTCCCAATTTTTAGAAGGGATGTCCAAATATAGAATTCCTAATAGCATTGATCAGAAAGATCTTCCACGAGATATTGCAGTTAAATTTTCAACAGCAAAACATAAAGAAAAGATTCTAAAATGTTCATGACAGAAATGCCAGATAACTTTCAGAGGATTTCTAACTAGACTCACAGGTGACTTCTCATCAGAATCTCTATGGGCTAGCAGAGAATGGGGACTAAGTCTTAAATGAAAAAAAAAAAAGCTGTCAACTGAGAATACTATTCCCTGAAAAGCTCTCATTTATGAATTATGAATGAATGTGAAATAAAGACCTTCCATAACAAAAAGAAACTGAAAGAACTTGTTGCCACTCACTCAGCGTTACAAAAGATGCTCTTGTGTGTTATGAGTTGTGATTTACAGCAAAGGGCTTTCCCACAGGCATTACACTGATGAGGTTTCTCCCCTGTGTAAATTCTCTCATATTTGATGAGCCATTACTTGCACAGAAAGGCTTTTCCACAGCCATTACATCCATAAGGCTTATTTCCCATGTGAATTCTCTGATGTATTACAAAATCTGACCTCTTGCCAAAGGCTTTTCTACATTCATTAAATTCATGAAGTGTCTTCCCTGTGAATTCTCTGATGCATTTTAAATAGTGACTTATGGCCAAAGGCTTTTCCACAGTCATTACATTCATAAGGTTTCTCCCCCGTGTGAATTCTCTGATGTTTGATGAGGCATGATTTATGGCCATAAGCTTTTCCACAGTCATTACATTTATAAGGTTTCTCCCCTGTGTGAATTCTCTGATGTTTGATGAGGTCTGACTTCTGGCAAAAGGCTTTTTCACAGTCATTACATTCATAAGGTTTCTCCCCTGTGTGAATTCTCTGATGCATTTTGAGTTGTGATTTCTGGCCAAAGGATTTTCCACAGTCATTACATTCATAAGGTTTTTCCCCTGTGTGAATTCTCTGATGTTTCATGAGGGATGACTTATAGCCAAAGGCTTTCCCACAGTCATTACATTCATGAGGTTTCTCCCCCATGTGTATTCCCTGATGCATTATGAGTTGTGACTTCTGGCTAAATGATTTTCCACAGTCATTACATTCATAAGGTTTTTCCCCTGTGTGAATTCTTTGATGTGTGATGAGGACTGACTTATAACCAAAGGCTTTTCCACAGGCATTACACTGATGAGGTTTCTCCCCTGTGTGAATTCTCTGATGTTTGATGAGCCGTGACTTGCACAGAAAGGCTTTTCCACAGCCATTACATTCATAAGGTTTCTCTCCTGTGTGAATTCTCTGATGAATTACAAGATGTGACTTCTTACCAAAGGCTTTTCCACATTCATTACATTCATGAGGTTTCTCCCTCTTGTGAATCCTCTGATGCATTTTGAGTTTTGACTTCTGGCCAAAGGCTTTTCCACAGTCATTACACTCATAGGATTTTTCCTCTGTGTGAATTCTCTGATGTTTCATGAAGGATGACTTATAGCCAAAGGCTTTTCCACAGTCATTACATTCATAAGGTTTCTCCCCTGTGTGAATTCTCTGATGCGTTTTGATTTGTGACTTTTGGCCAAAGGTTTTTCCACAGTCATTACATTCATAAGGTTTTTCCCCTGTGTGAATTCTTTGATGTTTGATGAGGGCTGACTTATAGCCAAAGGCTTTTCCACAGTCATTACACTGATGCGGTTTCTCCCCTGTGTGAATTCTCTGATGTGTTACAAGGTATGATTTTTGGACAGTGGCTTTTTCATGCTCATTACCTTCATGAGGTTTCTTCTTTGTGTTAATTTTCTGATGTTTAATGAGATCTGACTTCTTGTAAGTAGTTTCTCCACAATCACTACACACATGGGGGTTTTCTAGTATGTGAATACAGTGATGGATTCTATGGCAGGCCTTACAACTGAATGATTTCCCACACGGTTTACACGTATAGGGTTTTTTTCCTATATTTGGTCTCTGATTTATTGCAAGATCTGATTTGTAAATGAGAGGTTCTACATACCCAATATCTTCATAAAGCTTCTCTCCTGTGTTGATTTGTTGATGCTTGCTGAGGTTAGTATTTTCATGAAAATTTTTTTCCATTTGAGCTATCTTTCCAACAGTTCCAGTTGACTTATTACAGGTCTCTCCCATATGGCATGTCTCAAACCTAAAGAATATCTTCTTTCTCTTTAAGTCTTTCCCTTCTCCACTATGTTTAAATGACTGCTTCACAGTCTGAATCTTGTGACACTCATTGAGAGGCTCACAGCACTGGAGGGAGTTCCCAGATACCTTAGAAGAATCAAGTTTCTCTCCAGCTTGCAGCTCATCAGGCCCACTGTGGGGATATACATTGTGACACACATTGCATTCCTCAGGTTTCAATGCTGAATAATTTCCCTTTCTGATAATCAGTTTTGAAATATGACTTGAACTTAAATTAAGTCTCTTTCTTAATTCAACTCTCTTGGGAGTTGCTGTCTTGTTATCTGTTGTACCATTCTGATTCAAATTTTCTTGAATTTCTTGGTTGGTCCTAATTATGTCATCATTTTTCATGGCGACTGAAATGAGAAAAAAAATCACTGAATCATATATAAATGCTTTATCCTGGAATACTGATGTATGGGGAATAAAATTACTTGTTATCTAATGGGTGTAAGATTTTAACATAATCAGTAAAAGATATTTATGACCATGTTTTTTCCCTTAATACAATGATAAATCAAGCTGTACCAATAGATTTCCCAATGTTCAATCATGATTCTGTTTACCACCTGAATTTTTTTCAAGTATGGCAGAATTTTTTTTTAGTTAGATGTGTTAATTCACTGCTTGTGGTGCTTTGCATCCCAACATAGTGCCTGTTTGAGCTCTGGCTTCTCTGATTCCAATACAGCTCTCTTCTTATGTAAACTAGAAGACAGCAGATAATGGTTAATGTGCTTGGGACCCTGTGATACATCAGAGAAGACTAGATGAAATTCCAACCTTTTTGCTTCAGACTAGTGACACCTAACGGTTGCAGGCATTGGGGGAGTGAGCTAATACAAGATCTCTTTCTCTTTCTCCTCTCATTGTCATTCTGCCTTTCACAATGATGAGATAACTATATAAGATTTTAAAGAATGGACAAATATTTAGCAAAAATATTAACCCATAGCCTAGCAACCATTTTTTCCCTGTCCTTTTTCTCCAGTTTATTTTTATAAAATTTATGCTTTGTGCTTCTCTGATATTTCAACCATAAATATAATTTTTACTGGATCATTTACTTGCAGGTGAAGAGAGTGAAATGTGTCTGTACTCTAAGCAGGACGACATCTAAGGACAAGATTTGAATCTATGATTGATTCAACAGCATTTGTGGGATTTTTCAAATGAAAAACTCTGCTTTTATCTGTACTCTATGAAAGCTTCCCCATATTCCTAAGGACATCTAACATCTTCAGCTTCTCAGAACTACAACAGATACAAAAAAGTCCCAATATAACACCTTAGGTATACACTCTCTAACAGTATAAACAATTTGCTTCTGCAACCCAAGGTATTTTTACCTTCTTTGAAAAGTGTTTTCTAGCTCATTTGCAAATCACCAGTCCTAGTTATCTCCCCTCAATTCATTCTACATACACTACTCTGTGATAATTTGAGTTTCTGAAAGCTTTTGATCAGTTTTCTCTTATTTTCAAAGAAATTTTCATTTCCTATGCCTTTCTTATCTTTTTTGTTTGAGACAGAATTCATACTTCAAACTCCACTCCTAAACAAATCTGAGACATTCAACATGAAACTATTAGGTTATTTGACCTTGGGATTCAGAATCTCAACTTTCTTGTTTAGTTTAGGATTACTTATTTTCATGTTTCTATACAAGTTCATGCTTAGCTTCAGAATTTCTGATGTCACAGCAGGGAGATTCACTTCTAACCATCTCTTAGCATTTACTTATTTATTTACTTACTTGAGAGTCAGAGACATGAAGAATGAAACAGAGGGTTGCCAGCCACAGGCTCAGTCCTCAAATGTTTCAAACAACCTATCATTTTCTTATTTATTTGAGAGGCACAAAGAGAATAAGAGAAAAGAGAAAGGCACAGAGAGAGTTCACATTTATTTGTTTACTCATGAGATGCTTAAAATAGCAAGTTCTATACCTGGCCAAAACCATGAGTGGAAACTCAATCTGAGACAAATTTCTATAAGTTGCCCAATTAACAAGCACTGAGGAAATAAAATGCATGAAGGAAAAAAATATTAAAATATAGAGGACAAGTTAGAATTCGAGGAATGTATCAAACATAGAAAAAAAGCCTTTGTAACATCAGAAGAACCAGCATTGGAAGTTTTTTCCAATCAAAGAACATCTTCACCAAGAGATACTGATATCCCAAGATACTGCAGAATGCCTGTGTCTGATGCATAAAACCAGTTGTCATTAAGAGTAATGCATAGAAAAAATTCATGGGAAGAGCACCAGTCAACATCTGCTGCATTCTTTCTGCCTTGGCCTCCCTGTCCATTATGTGCAGTCTGACCTGGAAGGCTCTGATATAGGCATTCTTCCACCATCCATGGCTCTGCTCCTTGCTCCAACTTGAAGATCAAATCAGGTTTGGTAATGTAGTGCCCTATTAAAGGAAATAATGTAAGTCTTTATGGAATCACTAACTTTAGGTTATTTAAAGGACTACAGCTTAGTCCAAGAGCTATGCCACAATGTTCCAATTTGAATCCTTTCTTAGATGGTAGACATTCAGATTATTCATGGAATTCTATACCTGTACATCATTAAACTTAGTGTTCATTTATTTCTCAAGTAGCAGGAAATTGTTATCACTGGGCACGTGATGGCTGTCACTCACCTAAGGAAAGCAGGCTGCTGTAGGTCTCTAGCATCACATCCCTGTACAGGATTTTCTGAGCTTTGTTCATGTTCTTCCATTCCTCCCAGGAAAAATACACAGCCAGGTCTTCAAATGCTATCATCGTCTGTGATAGAACACTTCTAGTTAACATATAAACTCTGTTATAAAACAAACACTGGCAGTTTTCAATCTTACATATGGGTATGAAGGAAGAAGGAAAGATGTGGTTTCATTTTAGACTTGTTGAGCATTTGGACAGCCACACAGAAGCATTCAAAGGGAGTCAACCCTATGGTCTAAAGGCTGTGAAAAATGCCCAAACTAGTGGGAAACAGGAGTTTTAGATGACAAAGGAACCACATCTGTCAAGGAGAATTGCATAGCAGGCTGAAAGGTGGACAATATTGATTTTTGAATGAACAACATTAAAGGGAAGAATGTGGAGTATTCAGGTAAAAAGACAAGAAACCATCAGTGAAGCTATCATGGGAATAAATAGAGAAGAATTCCCAGAAAAGCAGAGTCCAAGGTGCTCCACTTCCAATCCAGCTCTCTGCTAAAGTTTCTGAAAGAGCAGTGAAAGATGGCTTGAGTATTTGGGCACCTTCCACCAATATGGGAGACCTAGATGGAATTCCAGGCCACTGGCTTTGGGCTGGCCCAGTCCCAGCCACTGCAGTCATTTGGAGAATGAACAAGTAGATGTAAGGTATTTCTTTCTCTTTCCCCACCTCTCTCAATCTCTGAAGATCTGCCTTTCAAATAAATAAATGAATACTAAAAAATAAAAAAAAATCTGCAGTAGATTCTTTTTCCCACACATTCCTGATGCTATCCCTGAATCAAGTTCAGGTCCTCAAAACTATTAAGAACTGTATTACTCTAATAATTCAAAAACAAGGTTAACTGATTTATGTTTTAGTACTAGATAACTGTTACTCTTGCAGAATGCAAACACTGCCCACTACATCATCTATGTAACAACAAAGACTTTCAGACATCATGACCCAAAAGATTTAGCATGTTTTACTATAAGTTCCAACTCAAAACATATAACAAGTGTATATTTTGCTTTGGCAGCAGAAAGAACAGAAACCAAACTGCCTTATCTTAGATGACTGTAATGTTTCAAAATTATGTAAAATATCATTCATCTTATTTATGTACAATCCTGAGAATAAAATTTGTTTATTTTTCCATTTTAATTAATAAACTATTATTAATCTCCTAAAATGAAAACTGACAAGAAGCTGAGAAACAATTAAGAAAACTACTTACAGGTGATGTATTAATTTTCTTTGCTCTTGAAAATATGTGGAGGTTCCTAGAATCATATCTGGAAGAGAAGGCAAATCGAAGGATTTCCATCAAACTGGGAAAAAAAAAGAATATGACAGAATGAAAAAAGAGTCATAAATACATTAACTGAGAAAACATCAGCTGTAGAGGATAAACAATTAAGCATGGAAATATATAGGAATATATATATATAAGCAGCAGAGATTAAAAATAAGTTATTTTTGATTTAATGAAATCATTGTCTACAAATTTTGTAAAATAATAATGTAATATTAAAACAGTAAAATATAAGGATGATTGTTCAAATAAATGAGGTTATCAATGAGATAAACATTATGTTTCACTAAATTTTTTACTAAAGAAAGTTATTTGGAATTTACCATTTTTTTACTAATGCAAAAGTACCACACTGTTGCAGTGGATTCATTTCTAAGAGGAAGAGTGTGGTGGGGACAAGAGGCATGGAATCACCACACAAATCCCGGGAGTTGGGTGAAAGCAGGCCTGAGGCAAGCAGGAATTTAATTGTGGTCCAGGGAACACCAAGGACCAGCATGGCTGATATAACCACCTTTATCGCATTACTAGCCTTTTCTCCGGATTGGGCTGTTGCAAATACAGCCTTTGAATAAGTATCTACCACTACATGGATAAACTTAAGTTTACCAAAGGAGTTAATGTGGGTGACGTCCACTTGCCAGAGCTTATTATGAGCAAGGCCTCGCGGGTTCACTCCTGCTTGTTGCAGTGGGGCTAATGGGGCGAGGGGTGCACAATTCTTGCAAGAGTGCACTAGGTGTTTGCATTGGCTCATTGTTAGCTCCAGGAAAAGCAATTTTATGTTGCTTGCTGACATATGAAATTTTTTGTGTAGAATACGGGCTTGTTCTAGGTGTCCAATGGAAGCCGTGCTGCAGGAGATAAGACGATCAACCTTTTTGTTGCCTTGGAAAATAAAGCCAGGTGATCTTACATGCGAGATATACTCTGGGTGTTTTCTGTTCTCAGTTAGCTCTTTAAGTGTTGTGGACATCTGGTCAATTGGCTTATTGGTCGGGTTAAAGACTGCAAAAGGGATCGTCTTTGCTACCTGTACTGAGTATTTGCTGCTAAAAATATATTTACCAGCCCATCCTGGCTAAGGAGTAGAACCTTGATTATTGCCCTTATTTCTCCCAATTGTACTGATCCCCCATGGGGTTCTACATGGATCTTACCTTTTTTTGTTGAGGATTTGATCACTATTCCAAACAGTAACTTGTTGGCATCCGTGAACGCACATGGTCCCATGGGTAGAGGTTGATTAGCAGGGAAAGCATGTGTTTGGATAGTCTATTTCTAAGGTTTGTAACATCTTGAGTAGCCTGTCTGCTGGCAGGTGATTGTCAACCTGTCCTGGGAAATTTATCATTTCACCACACCACACAGGATTCTGTATTTATGGGTACATTAGAACACTTCTTGTTTTTTTTAGAACTGAAATTCTATAGAAAGCATGCAACTTAGAGCTTCACATTTTTTGGCCAAAATTGTATTGGAACAAATATACACAACTGCAGGAGATTACATTCAGAGACTGACTGTTAACACAAGAGAAGGTCCAGTAAAGGACTCGGCATAAGGCCCTGAGTCCAACAGTCATCAAGGACATTTACCTCTGTAGCAGCAGACCTCCATCTGTTTGGGTCGCAAGACAAGGCAGCTGGGCCTTGACTGATAAATCCCATAGGGATAGACCCTACTAGTAAGCATGAAGGACTTAGACTTTGCTTGTTTCCTTAATCTGCTGGCTATGCTGTTTTGCACTATAATAGGCATGCTGAAAAATAAAGCTTTTGGCAGTCTAAGAGTTGTCCATGTCCCGTGTTTTCCAGAGAAGAGTCTCACAGGTTCCGGGGGCCCAGAGCTCCCCCCCACAATGTATATTTAATGCAATACACTTTACCAGTAATGGTTCCAAATAGCATCATTCCCTGTATCCATCCCTTCACAAGATTTCACTTTTTCAGTTGCTTAACCCCATGATATATCTATCAGTAAATGTGACAGAAACAGATAGTTTGTATCACACATCAGCATACATTTAAATGAAGCCATCTCTAAGGCACCAGTGTCAATCAGTTCCTCAGATAACTAGATCCTCATTTTTTCCCCCAGGCTGATCACAGGAACTGTCCAGCTGAGCTCATCTCAAAATACTGAATTGGAATTATAAATCAAATGGTTATTTTGTGTTTTCTGATTTGTCCTACATCAAATGCTGGCACATGTTGGTGAGCAGGGGAGAAAGTTCAATTACATGCAAAATACAATTAATACAACTTCACAATGTCATGTAGAAGTTTCTATAAACATAGATTGGCATTGTCATGTAGCAAATAAAGCTGCCACCTGCAATGCAAGCCCCCTGTATGGACATTGATTCATATCTGGCTTCTCTGCTTTGGATCCAGCTGCCCGCTAGTGGCCTGAGAAAGCAGTGGAAATGGCCCAAGTACTTGGCTAAATGCTACTAATGTAGGAGAACCAGATGAAGCTCCTGGGTCCTAGCCTCAGCCTATCCCAGCCTTGCCCATTGAAACCTTCTGGGAAGTGAATCAGCAGATGAAAGATTTGTATCTCTCCCTCTCTCTGTACAGAACAGTTTCAAATAAATTTTTAAATTCTTAGAAAAAAAGCTTCTATAAACATGATCTATGCTTATCAATTGGATCTTAGCAAAGCTATTGACACTAAAAAAGTCTTGGGGATCATACAAATGAATTATTTGTAGATCATAATGTTATGCTTCACATTTCTGCTTATATGTGGTCATATTATTTTTATTTATATTTTAAGACACTGATTAGCACATGAAGTCTAATTTAGTGTAATTTTACTATTCAGAAAATAGGAAAAAGCTCACAGTAATTTTCTGAAGCTGCATGTGTACTAAATATTGCTCAAGGTTTTCAAGAAGAAATTACTGGGGCCGGTGCTGTGACACAGTGGGTGGGGCTGCCACCTGCGGCGGTGCTGGCATCCCATGTGGGTGCCGGTTCGAGACCTGGCTGCTCCACTTCTGATCTGGCTCTCTGCTATGGCCTGGGAAAGCAGCAGAAGATGGCCCAACTCCATGGGACTGTACACCTGCATTGGATACTCAGAGGAAGCTGCTGGCTCCTGCCTTCAGATTGGCGCAACTCGAGCCATTGCGGTCTATTGGGGAGTGAAGCAGTAGATGGTGGACCTCTCTCTCTCTCTGCCTCTCCTTCTCTCTATGTGTAACTCTGACTTTTAAGTAAATAAATAAATCCTTAAAAAAAAGAGAAATTACTGATAGTAAATGGGAAAATTTTATGATATGCTTTTTGAAGTCATACAATCTGTACATAACAGAATCAAAAGGAAATCCATGGGGGCAGTGCCATGGCACAGGTTAATCCTTCACCTGCAGTGCCAGCATCCCATATGGGCATCGGTTCTAGTCCCAGCTGCTCCTCTTCCAATCCAGCTCTCTGCTGTGGCCTGGGAAAACAGTAGAAGATGGCCCAAGTACTTGGGCCCCTGCACCCGCATGGGAGACCAGGAAGAAAACCTGGCTCCTGGCTTTGGATCGGCCCAGCTCTGGCCATTGCAGCCATTTGGGGAGTGAACCAATGGAAGGAAGACCTTTCTCTTTGTCTCTCCCTCTCATTGTCTGTAATTCTACCTATCAAATAAATAAATAAAAATTAAAAAAAAAAAAAAAAGGAAAGTCATGCTCAGGGCAGTCTTCTAAAGCAATACTATTTCAAACTGGTGACAGCTTCTGAAATTGATCTGAAAATAAATGGGTTTTTTAATTAAGTGTGGCGAAATAGACAATATTAGCCAAAATTTAGGGTACCAGGCATCTACAAATCATGTGACAATACTCAAACCATTTATCTCCTGAAACACAATTTACTTCACCTTATTTTTACATGCAGGGACCCTGGCAAACTCTTGTTGAGCTACGAGGGAGAATTATTAGGATACAGGGGGCAGCAGTATAGTTCTAGATACCAAGTGTAAGGCACATTAGGTTTCAAAGACCTCCATTTCTGTAAATCATGATACTATAATAAAGTAATGGACATGTGGTAGGAAACAATGTAGACAGTGACTCTCAAACATGAGAGGTTATCCCTCTACCCCAGGCCACAGCCTCAAGACTACTTAAATAAGTAACATTTGCTAGGCTCTTGCCTTTCTTTCTAATCCATTCACAATTATCTTCTGAAGGCTGGTCCAAACTTCCAATATCACTCAGTCTTTCATAACTATGGATGAGGTAAGGTAATATCAACTATATTTTGTTTACTCTGGCCAGTATGATCAATAACTGCTTGAACCTTTGCATTTCTTTTTTCTCAGCTCTGAAGCCTAAAGGTACTGAGGTACTGTCTCAGAGAGCATCCAGTGGTATTCTGTCAGAAATGATTTCTATTTTTGGAGCTTCTTTTTTCAAATATCATAAAACTACTCACTTCCAAATGAAATGGGACTGTCACCTCATGCCCAAATTTCCATGTTTTTGGAAACTAGGTCTTGTATAAACCTCTGTAACCTCAAATGTGTAGTGCTGGGCAGACTACACAGTTCAGGAAACCAGAAACTTCACTTAAAGAAGATATATATGAAACACTGGTGCAGAGCCAAGATGGTGGAAGCAGGGATGGAGCCAAGATGGCGGTATAGCAACAGGATGTTCTGCGTCAATGGGAGAAAAATAGATATCTAATAAGAAAAGAGAATACAGGCTGGCAACAGAGCTACGAGAGTTTCACACAAAGAAGCCCAGGAGTCCAGCAGACTGAGCAGGTCTACACATAGGTAACAAAGAGTCACAGAGACACAACAGAGGTGTGTTGGAGAAGCCAAATGGTGTGACTGACACCACGCCCTCCTTCTCCCTGAGTGGACCAGGTAAGACTCGAGGTTGCAAGTCCATGGAGCTGTGGTTAGCAGTGGGGGAGAGAGCCAGGTGAACTGTGTTTGAAGTTCCAAGCAGAAAGAACATGGGAATAGATGGAGAATTCAGGCACACCCCTGCCCATCCATGTATCCCCCTCCCTCCAACTTGACCTGCAGTTGACTGGGAGAAGTCATATTGTCTGTTCACATCTCGGAATGTACACAGAGTGCTACCACATTTGCCTCCCGTACACACACCTATCAATTGTGGGGGCCACTTTACCACACCTCCCCCACCTGGGAATGAGGATTACAACATTTTAGAGTAACTTCACAGCATTACCACACAAGCTGTACAATGGTGAAAAGTTCTAAACATTGAAATCCCTAGCTTGTTTCACACACCAGAGCCTGGCCCAAGTTGGCAGGTCTTAGTGAACCACAGCTCTCCTATCTGCTCCCATCACCATCCAGAAGTGAGCAGGACTTCCAGAAGCAGGGCTGTGTGTTTCCACTGGCAATGCACAGACACATGGCAGCTCATAGCAGAAGGAAATCTCACTACAAGCACCAAGACACATATTAAAGATAAAAGGAAGCAGAAATTCTGAAAAACAAGGGGAAAAGTTTTAATAAGAGTAAGGAAGATGATATGATCCCCAGAAAGGAACATTACCTCTCCTCTTCAATACTAGAAGTGGAAGAAGAAGAGATTGAGGATATGCCAGAAATGGAATTCAGAAAATTAATCATCAGATTACTTAGAAGCAATCAGAAACAAATTTACTATCTAAATGAAAAGTATTCCCAAGAAATTGAGATATTGAAGAGAAGTCAGAATGAAATACTAGATACAAAGAATAGAGCAAATAAAAAAACAGTGGAAAGTCTCAATAATAGAACAAATGAAACAGAAGAAAGAATATCAGACCTTGAAGACACATTTCTGGAAATAACACAGACCAAACACAAGAAAAAGAAGAAATCAGTAAATTGAGAAACAGGGTTGGAGATCTGCAAGATTCTATCAAATGATCCAACATACAGATCCTAAGAATTCCAGAAGGCATCAAAACAAAGAAAGGATTAGAAGGCTTTCTTAGTGAAATTATAGCAGAGAACTCCCTTCTGTAGAAAGAAAGAGACATCCAAGTTTAGGAAGTACACAGAACTCTCAATAGACATGAACAGAAAATATCTTCACCTCAACACATAGTGGCAAAGCTCTCCTCAGTAACACATAAAGAAAAGATCCTAAAATATGTACAAGAGTAATAACAAATCACATTCAGAGGAAACCCAATTAAACTCACTCCAGGCTTCTCATCACAAACCCTACAGGCAAGGAGAGAATGGTGAGACATACTCCAAGTCCTAAGAGAAAAAAACTATCAACCCAGAATACTGAACTCTGCAAAATTCTCATTTATAAGTAAAGAAAAAATAATGATTTTGCACAACAAACAAAAATTGAAAGA